TAATATATTCACAATAATGCAGAGACGAGTACCAAATATAGTTCGACGAGTTGGCAGACAAAAATGTTACATGTGTAGGTATCTACTTCTGCAAGGCAACTTACGTTTGGAAACTAAAAAAACGTCATTTTTTAATGTATAGACACATAATGTCATGTGGCAGGTGCTTGCACGCGGCTTGCACATGGACCGTTTACACAGTAGACAGGCAGACTATACAAAAGTTTATTTTGAACTGCCTCCGTGGCCGAACGGTTACCATGCTGGACTGCCACGCAGAGTTCCCAGGTTCGATTCCCGGGCCGGGAGAAATATTTGTATAGCCTACATTTATTTCTCTCGTGAGTTTGGGTGTAATTTGTGGTTGTCTATATGTGTGTCCATGGTACCCGCGACACAGGGTTTCCTAGTGCAGGGCTATGTTGAGTGTGTGCGTTATTATTATATATTATTAATAATAACGCACACTAATTGCGCAAGTTTACTACTAGCAAATAAATACTTTTTAAATAGTAATCTATGGTGAGACTCAGATATTTCAACCACACATTGCTTGACATATTTCGAACCAGTTCGTGGTTGTGGCTGATCAGTACCCCCGAAAACAGTATTAGGTACGTAAGTCGTTATTGTGAATAAGACTTCACAGCGTGACTTTAGCGTAGTGTGCAATCCTGCATATGACTTTAATAAGAATGTCCGAAACGTTCATTGCCCGTGGTCCAACTGCGTAGTCCAACTAGTTGGAAGTACAAAAAAATTTGCCCATGCTGTTTGCATTATTAATATTGACGGTGACTGTACTAACCGATCAGTAGGTCCAATGCCCATACAATATTGCTCGTAGTCCAACTAGCTGGATCAAGGGCAAAAAAAAATTTGCCCTTGGTCCTACTAGTTGGACTATGCAGATGGACCACGGGCAATAAACAGTCTGGAAGAGTGACCGAGCTGATAGGGCTTTGGCGCGCCGCTTTTTGTCGAGTCATCGCCATACACTTATAGACCCTGCATAGCGGGTGCAATGGACACACATGTAGACATTCCACAAATTACACTCAAACTCACGAGAGAAATAAATGTAGACCATACAAATATTTCTCCCGGCCCGGGAATCGAACCCCGGACCTGTGCGTGGCAGTCCAGCACGGTAACCGTTCGGCCACGGAAGCTCATGATTAATGCCCGCGACTGTGGCGCTTCAATAATTTTTAGTTCACTATTGGAACCAACAGCGGCGCGCGACTGTGACGCTGCAACTGCACTTCTAAATATGGTATGAAAATTAGTAGTTGTGCGGCTGCAGCGCCACACTGATACCACTGCAGCGTCTAATTTAAACACGCCCTTTAGGACTACAGACTGGTTTGAAACATGACGAGCAAAAATTCGACTTAAGTGAGTTATCCGTTAGTTAACAGGCAAAAAAATTCAGTATTGCCTCTGACATTAATAATAAGACTAATTACTAATAATAGTTCGTATCCTGTTTCTCAATGTTACATAACGTGACTACGTCCCAAATAAAACTAATCAACTTTTTCTAGTGTTATTATTTTTGTTCTACATCACAAATTAAACAAATACACTTTCCTATCGTTAAGCGATTGTACAGAACGTCCGAGCAGTTTCTCAGTCTCTCCCTGTATACTTAACGCAACATTAACTGCTTCCAAGAACTCCTACAAAGTAAATATTTTCACATTAGAAATGATAAATGCATCCATTGTACCAAATCGAAGCAACTAATGGTATTTGTTAATTTGATATCTCCTTCCAGAGCCGCTTTGTCAAAATAGCGAAAGATTATCAAGCTCTTCTCTACTCCGATTTGATGCTTAATGAATCTTACAGTCTCAATATAGTATAGATGCTTCCGTGTATGTAATGATGGTCGTAAAAAATTTTTTTTTTTGAGAAAAACAAAATATCGCTGACTTTATGCTCAGTATTGTGAAATACTACTATATTGAACTTAGCGTAGCGTAGTAGCAAAAAAAAATTTTGCGTAAGAAATAGGGTGCTTTGTTCACGATTCTTTATTTGCTTTTGTATGCTTATTCAAAGTCGTAGTATTCTGTATTTGCATTATTGTATAAAGGCAACGATATTGAACCGAAAACATCGTCCTGCTGTCCTTTTCCAATTATAACTGGAAGATTTATAAAATACCCCTCACTAACCATTTTATGCAGTGGCGATTCCACTTGTGTGGTCTGTGGACGATACCATAAATTTTTGAGGACCCTTTTTTTACTCTTTATTTTTTTAGAGGCGTTGATAATTTACAAAGTAATAATATACAGATTCGAGGCTTGATACCAGGGCGTTCAATGTATTCTCGGTATCGGGGTGATTAACTAATGATAAGTCATCATCATTAGTATTCAAGTTATCAATACGAGAAGACAACTACAATGACAGACGCCACAATGTTGACGAAAATCGAGCACCGCGCAGTGATTAAATTCCTTACAAAACAAGGAAAGACTCAAAAAGTTATTCATGAAGAAATGGTGGCTGTTTATCAAGATTTTGCTCCTTCATTATCTACTATTCAGAAGTGGTCTAGTGAATTTAAACGGGGTAAAGAGAGTATTGAAGACGACCCCCGTGCTGGAGGGCCGGTAAGTGCCACTTCTGAAGAAAACGTCAAAATTGTCGAGAAACTTGTATTAAAAGATGCCCGTATCAGAGTGAAAACATTAGCAGAAAAGACTAAGCTATCCGTGGGTACCATTCACACTATCCTTCATGAACATCTGAATCTTTCAAAAGTCAGTGCAAGATGGGTGCCGCGAATGCTCACGCCGCTTCAGAAACAAGTTCGAGTTGAGTGCAGTAAGGGGTTTTTGGAGCTCTGTAGCGAAAATCCGAGTGGAATTTTTGAACGCATTGTCACCGGTGATGAAACGTGGGTTCACCACTATGATCCTGAGAGTAAGTAAGAGTCCATGCAGTGGCATAAAAAAGGAACAGACCCACCGAAGAAGTTTAAAGTCTGCACATCCGCCGGAAAACTCATGGCCACAGTGTTTTGGGATTTTAAGGGAATATAATTGATCAAATACACAAAAATGGGTCAAAGTATTACTGCCGCAGCTTACGCAAACAGCCTACGCAATTTGAAGGACGCTATAAAGGAAAAAAGACCTGGAAAATTGACCGCTGGTGTCTTGCTTCTTCACGACAACGCGCCGGTTCACACAGGGCGCGTTGCCAAGGCTGCTGTGAGGGATTGTGGATTTGAAGAAATCACTCATCCACCCTACAGCCCTGACCTGGCCCCCAGTGATTACTTTTTGTTCCCAAACCTAAAGAAAGATCTTCGGGGTAAGCATTTTTCCGACGATGAAGAGTTGAAGGAGGCAATTAGTGAACATTTTTCAGGCAAAGAGGAAAAATATTTTTTCCAGAGCATCGAAAAGTTATTTGCCCGATCAAATAAGTGTATTGAGGCTATGGGAGACTAAAAAAAAAAATTGAAAAATAAATTTTATTTAGAATTTTTTGCCTATTATTTCATACCTATACCGAGAATACATTGAACGCCCCTCTACTAGTCCGCGTTGACTAGTCGATTGTCAATATTCTTACCCTTTTGATTGGCAAAGCTTTGGATCTGACAATCCATAGCACTGATTCCGTGCACGGTGGTACAGGCAATGAACCATGGTACGCGACGTAGTTGTGGAACGGTGGGCTTATATGACTAAGTGGAATTGGGTTCAGACTGACGTTAGAAGCTCTAGAACGAATTCCTGCTTTTAATAGATTCTTAAGAGGTGGATGTGTGTGCTGTTCGTACTGTAAAAAAGAGGTTAGGTAAAATAACTAAAACTTATAAATGGGGTAGACAGAGACAAGTAACATCTATTTCCCTCGTTCCTGACTTACACTAACGCTTATGTTTTCTTCAGTCTTTCCTTCATTTATTAAATAAATCGCACATGAAATCAAATACTATCGTAACTTAATATTGTGGAATTGAGAAAATGCAATTTCAAAAATAAAAAATAAATACTGAATGGATCCTATTGCGAATAATGTGATTACTTTTATTTATTCTTCATTATTCATTTATAAATGTGAATATATGTACATGGCATTTCATTCAAATATTATTTTAGATTTCAAATCGTGTTTTCTCAATTCCACAATTTTGAGTTACGACAGTATTTCGTTTCGCGTGCGAAATATATAATAATTATTTTAAACCAAAAGGAATCAGTTGATAATTCGAACATAAAACATGAAATTTGGAAATTTCGTCGTTCGTCAAGATTCCGGCACTATCTTTGTATAATATTAAAATTTTCAATTTGTTTAATCTATCGTTTTTGTGTCTAACCCCGCACCCTGCCTGTGACCGTGCCATATCGACAGTATCAGCGTTGTTACGCGCCCGCGCAAAACTGTTTGATTTTCCATTGGTACTGTCCGCATAACTTGAATTAAATGAAAAAAATAATTATTTGAAATTTACATTATTACCATTTCAGCAGCCATGATGGATACAGTTATATCGCACTACTAATACAATAGTGTATTAACTCAAAAACTGTATGTTTTTCAGAATCGATGAAAAACTAATTACTCATGTCTAGTGAAAGATAATTTTTAAAATGTATGTATAAGTTAAAGTTTATTATTACAGACTTCTAAACATTTTTGTATTTGCTAAATATATTTCGAAATAAAAGGTAAGAATTGATTTGTTTAGAGCTAGCTCACAAAAAGTTTGTCTCATTTTGAGTTAAGTAGATCTCTTATGTTTCTCATAATATTCTAACGACCGTTGTACTGACGTGCAAAGATTAAAATTTTACGTTCAGCAATAGTATTATCTTGAATATCACGTATTCTAAGCTACAACACTATTGTAATAGCAGTGAGATATGCACATGTAATTATCCGCATCGATACTGAACTAAATGATATATTTTTTGTATCATTAAAAAAATATATATTTGTAACGTAAAATAATAGAATCGAGCACAATGCATTCTTGAATAAGTCCTGAACAATTTGTACCATATTCGTTATGAGATTTTCAACGGAACCATTTTTAGAACTTAGGAAATTGGTAGAGTAGAATATTTTTTCATTGTTACACCAGTTGAACAAAAAGTAATAAATTAGACGAATTTATGCAGCGTAAAAAAGTCCGTTTAATTAAAGTAAAACATAGCTTTGGGAGTAACAGCTGCAAAGTCGCAAGTAATGTTATTACTTATTTTGAAACTTTTGTCTAGGACAGAATAATTACAAATGTAAAAATTATTATAAATTATATCTACTTCATAAGTTTTCGTGATTGTTATACATAGGAAATGAAAATAGTTTTTTGCATTTAAATTGCGTTTATTTGTTTTTTACAGCCGCAACAGCGCGGCCCTTTACGAGACAGAACTCACGAAGCGGTTTTGACCCGCGCCCGCTGCGGTTGCGGGACAGCTGTTTTATTTGAACGTTCACGATACCGCAGGTTTGTGCGGTCACGTAGCCGCCGCGGTTGCAGAACGGCCCGCAAACTTGGCGGGAGAGGCGCAAGGTCGCAAGGCGCGCGGTTATTTACGATAATCCTCGCCATGGACTCACATTAAAAACGAGCTATCGCGTTATACTTACTTCATCGAAGAATCAAAAGAAGAAGGCCTAAAAGGTTCAAGGTGCATCCTCTGATTCCGGAAAGAAATCGTTACGGATTATTCGTTGTTCTTATTAATGACTTAAAAAAACAAGAAGAGAAATTCTTCAATTTTATTCGGATGTTCGTATCTACTTGTTCAGAACCTTTAAGAAAAATGGTAACTGGTAGGAAATTATATGGTCGACTTCAACATCCATAACTTAAGAAATTGACACGCGCTGCCAAATCGTAAATCAATCACAAAATGGCGTGGGAAGGAAAGACCCAACCCGCGCGCGTGGAACGCGTTGCCCGCGAACCAACCGCAGAGTGCGTGGGCCCGCAAAGCGCGCGGGTGACCGCGTTCCGCGCGGTTTGCGGCCGCCGCGAGCAACCGTTTCCGCTGCGGGCGTAAAACGCGTCGTGAAACGTGCTACTAAATTTTGCAAACATTTCTACATTCTTCGGAGGCCGCAGCCCGCAAACGCGGCGGGCGCGAGTGAAAACCGCTCCATGAGTTCTTAGCATATAAGTCCCATGTCACTGTTTCAGTAAGTCCCATGTCACTGTTTCCGTCAGTCAGCTGTAAAGGCTGTAAACGTTGGTTGGTTTGAAAAAACATATTTACGCGATTTAGATCCGAAAATATAGTTTCATTTATTATAAACTATATTACGTATACACTAGCCTAGCCCGCGATTTTATACGCGCAAACACGTATCGCTTAGGGCTGGTCCCAACCGGAGGACGACGCGGGAGAGCTTCGAGGAAGTTCTTCTGTGCGACGACTCACACTGATGTGGAATATTCTTAACAAATCCGGGAGCATCCGCCAGCGTACTACCCCAGCGCTTTAGAGCCGGCACCCTCTGCCCCGGTATCCTCTAGAATACTATTTAATGCCGCTGAGAGAAATGCGCTGACTCCGGGTCGGTCTCAGAGCAGAAATCACACTTTAATGAAATATACAGCATAGTATACATCGAACCATGCACCGTACAATATTTTTGTTAACTTAGCAACCTACTTATTGCATATGCAAATGTCGTAAAGACAGTTGACAACTCGCCTCATGAGCGATCGGCCGGATCGTCGATCGTCGATCATTTTACTTAATACGGATTTTACGGAAACCGTGGTCATTCGTCAACTCATACATCATCCAGCTTTATTTAACTATTATTTCAACCTTACAACGTTCAAAGATCGACGCAAATTATATATCCTCTGTCTTGCCGTCCAACTATTTGCACTGGCCCTTACCTATCCTATTAATATATAATAATTACAACTTGTTTATTAAAAAACCTTTAAAAGTTCGTAAAATTTGGTCGAAATCGATTAACGGAAAGTGAGTGAAATCCAATAAACCGGATATATTCCCTAATTTGCCACCCTTAGAGGTGGAATATTTTCTTCAAATTTGAATGGAACCACTACTGATGTATCACATTTGCAACAACAAAAAAATCATCGAAATCAGTTCACAAATGTCGGAGTAATCGCGTAACACACACACAAAAAAAAACCGGTCGAATTGAGAACATCTTCCGCTTGCAGTCGGTTAAAAAGGACACTGTTCGTTAGATATTACGTATGTAGTATGTAATTCCTTCCTATACACAAATATTGAACGTATAGCTTTTGACGTATATCCAACCGTTTGGTCAGCGCACATGCACTTCGTTGCGATTTGCGTCCGCATCACATCGAGCGGCCGAGAGCTACAAATTTTCGTGTACGAATTTAATAAAAACTTTAAAGTGAATTAACTCCAGCAATCATAGATGTAAATAATAGAAATGAAACGGGTAGTGATTTAGCCGGATACCGGATATCTGACCCACTGCCTTAAACATGTCACGGCCTGTCTACAGCGCGCATAGTCGTGATTTGATTTCTTATGGTCACTTGGTTTTTATAAAAACGATTAATTTATTCGATAATACAAACAAATACATAACAGAAAAATGTTAACAGTGAAAAGAAATCTCAAATTTAGCAACATTTAATTATCAGTGCTGTTTGTTTTTTTGCAAATATCTCGCGGTGGAGAAGGAATCATCACTCTTCGGCTATATTTAAAATTTCTAGTTGTTGTAAGCGTAAGCCTAGCATACGCCCGTTATTGTTTTAATTTTATTAATTTGTTTGTGATCTAAGTAATTCTATTTATTGTAGGTAAGCATTGCATTTGAAGACAGTTCAAATCGATCGTGATCGCGACCTTTCGTTTAGTCGTCTGGCAATAACAAGCAGTATTTAAATTTAACAAAGTTTGCAAGAGTTTGTACTGAAAAATAGACCTATGAAGCTGGTCTCGTTTATGAAAATAAATAGACGAATAGAATTAACTTTTACCACTTAATGCAGAAAAACTGGTCCTCATCCACCATAATTTGCCTATACTAAAATTTGAGTACTAAATTTACAGATAACGTTATCTAACGTCATAGTAACTTTCGGTTGCAAGTAATAAACATATTGTTAACGATCCTGTAGTTGCTGTTTATCTTGTTACTATCATATTTAACCAATAAATCAATTTACTTGGTATACTTATTATGAATTTTTCTCAGCTTTGAACATCCGGTATCCGGCCGAATATTGTTCTACTATCAGGAATCTGGCCGGATAGTTAAAATAGGCCGGATAGTTATCGGATATCCGTTTCATCTCTAGTAAATAATTTTGTTGCTGGCAGTATCAAGTGAGTAAATATTGTCAAGGTTTGTGATTTAACGTTATCCATTCCCTACCTGCAAGGCAGTTCGCCGCGTAGGCAGGAGACTACTCACACACTATCCTGCATATGACCTACGCATGGAGTCTCATCTCAATGGCCCTACATTGCAGGATTGCAGAATGGCTTGCACACTACGACTACATAATCCTGCATTACGCGGCGGACGGCAAGGCGGACTGCAATGTAGGATAATGAATGCCCCCTTTAAGCTAGTGCATAATTCAAATTATTATATTTTTTATATAGTTATTATTAATATAGTTTATGCCTGAACTTTACACTTTACTTCCTTGTACTTTTTTCTGTATTTCTTGTGTTCTACGTGGGGCGCATTATAAGTTTCCGGAATGAATAAGAAAAAAATACTATAAATGGTCAGAAATTAATTTATTGTTTCTCAAAATATTCTCCGTTAGCGTTAATGCACTTTTTCATACGAATGAACCAATTTTGAAAAAAATTATGCCACTCCTCCGTCAGTGACAATCTATGAAATATATTTTTCATACTCTTCGACAGCCTCTTCAGGTGATGAAAATCGTTGGCCGCGTAACTGGTTCTTAATTTTTGGAAATAAATAAAAGTTACAAGGTGCCAGCTCGGGACTGTATCCGGGATGGTTCATAAGGTCACCGTTTTTCACTTTCAATAATTCATCTGTCTGTCTGGCCGTGTGAGAACTGGCATTATCGTGGTGCAAGATGATACGGCGTTTACGGTTATTTTTACAAAGTTTGTCAATAACTTCTTGCAAAAAAATGGTCGTGTACCAATCACTACTCACGGTACAACGATTCTCCAAAGCAATAGTAGCCAAGTGTCCAGTTTTATTAAAAAACGAAGCAATCATCCGCTTAGAGGCACTTTGTTCGCGCGCCACTTTGGTTGGTTTCGGCTCATCTCGAAAGACCCATACACTCGATTGCTGCTGTGTTTTGGGATTGTAACTATAAATCCATGTTTCGTCACCTGTTACTATTACTACGTCTCACACCAAATTTGACGCCCCTTCGTTGAATCGGATAGGCATGGCATAGCACCAAGTGACGCGATCCGTTTTTTGAGCCTCAGTCAAATTGTGTGGGATCCACCGAGAGCACAGTTTTTTCACATTCAAATGTTTGTGTAGTATTGATTGTATTTAACTCATGCCTATGCCTAAAGATGCCCGAATCTCATGGTATGTCACATGCCTGTCTGTTTTGATCATACGGCGCACAGCATCTATGTTTTTGTTGTTCACAGCAGTGGACGCTGTTTGAATTCTGCAAACCAACTATAAATAGTCGTCTTGCATGGTGCTTCATCGCCAAAAGCAGTTTGAAGCTGAGGGAAGCTCCGCTGAGCTGTTAAATTACACTTAGTCGTAGAAAATCATAGTTAGAAAACTTTCACGTGTTAAATCCATGGTGATGTAGACAACCAATATCTAAAATGACGCCACAATGTAAAAACAAGTGACGGTCAGATGAAAGAAACTGTATTCTACAGCCAAATAGTTCCACTTTCAATTGTTGTAATTACTTTTTAAATATTGTTTATGTAAGTGGCCAGTTCCGGAAACTTATAGTGCGTCCTATGTATATATTACTTATAGGGCATGAATTTCAGTATAATTAACGTTAGAAATACTATATAGCTTTAGTCAAATTACAGTTGCAAAAAAAATCATTTACTTACCCTAAAAATGACACTAACGCATAAAAACGCCATGGGATCGTTATTGGAACCCTTCATGGCATCTTCGAAGGAAGCGTACTCCGCGGATATGTGAAGTATTTGCAGTTCTAATGGATACGAAAGACCTCCAATCTTATGTTCTGTAGGCCAGTGCATACTGAGACAGTAGAAAATGTAGCGGCGACTGTGGGCCGCCCCGCCAAAGATAAGCGGCATATTATTTTTATGCCATTTACCATGCACTATTACTGAAAAAATAAAAAAACAGAATATTAGTTGAACGTTTTTAACCGACTTCTAAAAAGGAGGACGTTCTCAATTCGACTGTTTTTTTTTATCTATATTATGTGATTACACTTTGCAGATTTATTTAAAAGAGGGTACCGCGGTATTGGTCGCATTTAAATTTGAAGAATATAATATTCCACCCTTAGAGGGTGGCAAACTAAGGGATGAATCCGGTTTGGCGCGCCTTCCGTTAACCGGCTTCAATGAAACTTGGTAAACAGATGTAATTACAATAAAAATCATAAGCAATATATAAGATAAGCAAATTTTTGAGGTCGATTTTTTTTAAATAAAAAATATAACGAGTTCTTAGGTTTTCGCGATTGTTACACATAGGAAATGAAACTATTTTTCCGGATTTAAATCGCGTATATTTGTTTTTTCAAACAAACCGACGTTTCGGGCCCTTTACAGGTCCCATGGATGTTACAAGTCAACCGTGACCTTGTGAAAAATAGTTTCATTTCCTATGTGTAACAATCGCGAAAACCTAAGAACTCGATTTGTATTATATTTTTGTTATTTTTTCTTTTTATACAATTTTTGTTTATTATATGTAATTATCACGTACGATATACACTCCGATATAAATACATACGGCACACTACACGAACTGCTCTTGATGCACTACTATATTATTATAGTATAGTATAGTATTTTTGGGCATTTTTCGCACCAGATCACGACCTATTTGCGTTACCTAATTGATCATTAGGTTAGTGTTTTGCTTTTTAATTTAATTTTTTGTTGTTTATTTGTTTTTATTCCCACCTTTAATTTTAATTTCTGTGATTTTTTCTTTCAATACATTTATTAGGTATATGGTAGTCTGTGTGATGCAAAGCGTTTTCGCTGTCTATTTATCTATCTGTTAGGGAAATTTTGTTGTCCATTCATACTTAATATACTATAAAAAATAATTTAGATTCACAATTTTAACGATGGTAAAGCGAAATTTGCGAAAGCGAGCTCGTAAAGATGTGAGCAAATTCATGAATTATTATTTTCTCTCTATTGGAGTACATTTATTTGTATGCAACCCATACACAGTAGAGGTACAGTAATAAAAAAGTCAAGGTAATTAATACCAACAGAGGAATGTTAGATGATGGAATCATAAAGAAAAGGTCTTTTTTTACGATCAGAACTGATTGTTCGAAAGGTCAATCTGATAAGTGTTTTTTCTCGGATTTTATCCCCGCTGTTTCCTGGTAGAAATATTTTTTACGTGTTTTTCATGTTCCTTTATATTATTGTTTCAAAAAGTATTTATAACCATATGTAGTTAACCAGTAAGGGATTTTATTGTATCGCGCGTAACAAATTACATAGTTGCCGTCTGTGTTGCGCCGTCAGAATAGATTTGAAACATTTGTTGTTATTAATTTGCTTCATGTGTAAATATTTTCGTGAGTTTATTTTTATATGAAAACATTAAGACAACATAATTCAGGGTTAAAATTGTCTGAATGTAGACTGACCATATAAATATCCTCAGAGTTTAAGTGATAAATCTTGACAAAATTTTCCTGTTTCGCTGTACAATGGACTTTTGGGGAATTAAAAATTCGCATAGTTAGTTGGAAATTCGTGGAATTAGACATCAAAGATCAAACCGAAATCGGATATCTTTAGTAATCTCTCATATTAATAATAAATTTCAATATATTAATATTACAATATATTAGACATTCAATCATGGATTTGTTGGCAATAAGCTCGTCGATACCCCTTAAATTAAGTAGTAATTTGATCGTATGAAACCATTTATGTTTCATAATAAGTCGATATTTACGAAAAAGCGAACGCACAAACCTAGTTTAAGTTTAACTCAGTCAAAATAATAAGTAGTGAAAACATTTTCCCTTGAACTATAGTTTTACAAGAAATTGTAGGTTCATTATGCCAAAACCAGAAATGTTGCGTATGAAAATATTTAATAGTTTTAATATTGATTAAAAGCCGTGGTAGCCCAACTTGTTAGATCTACCGCATTTTAAGTAGAGCCTGGGGATTCGAATCCGGGCTCGCACCTCTGACTTTACGGAATGTACATAGGTACAAAATTCAATTCGGAATTTACCATTTCACTGCGCGTTTTACGTCTATAGTGCTGACGGTTGCTCGGGGTTGCCGCGGCGGGGTACTAGTAGAACCGCGCAGAACGCGATGTCCTGCACGCTTGGCGGCCGTCGTCGCCCGCACACTTTGGCGGTCGGTTCAGGCGCACACAGGGCAAGTTGTCTATTAACCGCGCGACTTGCAATTAACTCCCACTAACTGCGCGGTCCGTTCCGCAATCGCAACGGTTTCGTGCCCGCAAATATAAAAGTATATTCCATTTTTCATACTCTATCTACACTGGTACTGGTGTATTATTAAATTAATATATTAATATAAATTATTATTATTTTCTTAATGGCGGCTACTAGGCTTGGACCAGTGTCAGTTTTATAAGAATAATATAAAAATATGGCGATCGTCGCCAGTGTCAATTTTCCATTACTAACGTATTACCACGGGTTGCTGAAGCTGTCACTGTCAAGAGTAACCTCGAACCATCAATGAATTTAATAAATTAAATTATGTTGTTTTTTTATGAAGGATTTATGTAATTTTCTATAATTGTTTCTAATTTATTTTGCATGCACATGTAAAATAAAGGCGATTTTATTTATCATGCATTTGCTATGGAAATTGAAACAAAGTCAGAAATAGTAATAAGAAAACCAATTTCGATTTTCCTGCAGCTTCAATCCAACCTTCTTTTATTTTAAACTCATTGGAAAAACTTAAAAATTAAAAATACTCTACGTTTAATCTACGAGTATAATGGAATTTAAATATCTAAAACCATTGACTTACAATTATATGGACGTCGGGTCCGCGCTAAAAAGTGTCCGCACTTGTAAGGCACTAAAATCGTATACAGAGCGCTAAACTCCGCTTTAGTCTTCATTTGTTCTACTGACAGCGCGATACTGCGATGACATTACAATTTAAATTTCGAATAGGTTGACTTGGGACATTTTTTTCGTGGTTTTTGTATTAGACCCGTCGTCCATTTATTTGTAAGTCAATGTCTAAAACACATAAATTTTTCTTCAAGCAACAGCAACATCCAAATTGACATGAAATTGAAACGGTTGTCCGAAATATGAGTTGTGTTAAAGTTACTCGAAATAAAATGTTTAGTAATATTAATAATGATAATAAAATAAATGAAATCAATTTAACGTGAATGGTTTTCGCTTCGATATTTTAGGGACTTTAATTTCAAAAATTATAGTAAGAAATTCAAACATTTCAGTAAAAATGTATTGTCAATAAACATTAGTCTTCGTAAATGAACATCACTATATTTGAGTCTAAATTTCTATGTTTTCTATGGAGACAAAAATAAAACATTGAATAATAATAGAAATACTAACTAAAAATGCAAATAGCCGGTGGAATGCTATCTCACTGGTTTTAAAATTTTTGTTTTCACTCCAATTTTTACAAGGTGTATCGCTACAACTTGGCATTTTCGCGTTTTACGAGAGATCTTGTATGTACTACGATCGCCATATCACTGTGGCGACGTTTGTAGGCGTGTCACCTCGATATGGTCATTTTGACCATATCGAGGCGACGCGAACCACGCCCCCGTACCATATCTCCCCTTTTTTTTCTATATCTATGGAATTTACCATGCGCTTTTTGGGCAAGCGAGTGCACGGTGCAATGAAACACAACTCTCGGTAAACGTATGAAACCTCCAACCCGCATGGGCAGTTTAACATGGCGGACCATGGCCTAAACCCTCGCCTGCGAAGAGACTCGTGCCCAGCAATGTGACGTATAAATGAGTTGATGATGAATAAAAGAAAATATTCACCATCCCCTTTCTATCATCGGGGGACTAGACTTGGGTTTCACCCGTTTGTTGTGGATATACCCAAGATTCGCACGAAACGTTACACTTCTATACATAAATGGGGTACGGCATTGGGGTGAAATTTTACAGCAGGTTTTTCTCTGAACATTGTGCCTTTTCAAGGCGAGAGTGAATAGGCATTAATATAGTGCATGCTCCACCGTCGACCTTATTATCACCTTCCATCAAGTAACATAGAGGTCAAATGCACACTTGCTTTAACCATAAATAAAATTAAGACTAAAAATAATCTGATTACATCACACAGTGTATTATTATAAACCCCAATTTTGTGACACGACACTTTTCTTCTAAATTCCTGTAGTTTGAACTAATACTAAAGCGAGAGTAGAACACCGATTTGACAAATATATATAGTTTCAGATTTTTTTAAATCTAAATATAATTTAAAAAATCATAATTTATAATTTTTGAACCAACTGAATGCAATACGGGCCAACCGACTTAGTCATTCGATAAAACCATAAATGACACACATTTTAAACTAATCGGCAGCGACATGGGTTCGTTCGTTATGAGGTTGTTTGATTTTATTTTTGTTCCGTTTATATTTCTTTACCTCAATAATCAGCCGTATTTTTTTAAGATTTTTACACCAGCTGCTGTTATAAAAACACGGTTAGGCAGGTATAGCTGTAGTGCTCACTGGGAGAATGTTTGCTTTTAAACCGAGAGGTCGAAGGTTCGAATTTCTGTGGCGGCATATAGATACTTATAACTTGAGTTTCAAAGTGTTGTACAAGTGTAAATGCTTATTAGCAATAGCTCTAGCTTACTGCGAAGAAAACATCTCGATGAAACCTGATTGTCAAAGAATGTTGGCAACTTCGTTTCGTTTGGTCCAGTTTTAAACCCAGCTGACTTTTTATTCGTTGTATAAAGTTGTATTGAACAACATATATACTAGCAACCACAAAATGCTTGGGGTATCTGTGGTGGACCGAATCCCTAATGAGGTCATACGTCAGAGTACTAAAGTAACCAACATGACTCGCAAAATCAGTAAATTTAAATGGCAGT